CATCGTCCAAATTAATTAAAAATTTATTTTTATTGAATTATGTTATAAAAATCTCCCATGATCCATTTTAATTGTCCACAACTAATACTACCACTACAAACTATGATATATATATATATATTTAATCCCATCAAATCAAACTTCTTTTATAATAATATATATATACAAACACATACACACACGCAAGAGAGATTGGATTCCCGTCACTCTTTGTACAGTGTACACTTATAAATAATTATGTATATGTATATGTATATCTAATGTATAAAATATCTGTGCACCAATAATATTGGACACACGATCACTATCATCGTGATTTTTTTCTGTAATGAACAGATAAAAATCAATAAATATCACAAGGTATACTTGAACAATTATAAAATCTGGCTAGATTTTGGTTGAGTAGCTTTCATAATCTTGTATCTTCTCTCTCTATAATTGATTATTCCATGGCCATTACTTCACCTATGCATATTATATATATATATATATCACTCAAAATTTGTCGGTGCCTTTGGTTCCTTTCTTGCCAACCAAAAAGTAATTTAAAATTTGGGTGAAGATCTAAAAAAAAAATTAAAAAAATAAAAAATAAAAACTTGGAGTTCAGAGCACATTAAAGTCAGTGTAAAATTGAGTGAAAGGTATGTTTTGATGCGACCAAGTATATATATTTGCTGGGGTTGAATTGACCTAGTATAAATTTGCTTGGGTCACATCTACAGATGCTACCAGGAACAAAAATGATTGGATATTGCAATCACCCAGATTGTACCAAGTTATGTCAAAATTTGACATAACAAAGCTAGGTTATTTGGACAAAAATCTGGTTGAGATGAAATTACTTCCGTTTCGTTTGTCACATTATTATTTAATTAGCTTCAACTTAGCGTTCAATCAGCAACTTAGTTAATAAAGTTATTGATGTATTCCTATTTTTATTACATGTACAAATATTCCATACAACATATACTTATACATTATATATATACAAAAATATACCAGTTCAATATCTAAATATACGTATAACAATATATTATATATAAAAATATTTTATTTAATTCTTTTTTTTTTAGTAAAATTACAAATTTTCATACAACATACACTTATACATTATATATATACAAAAATATATATACAAATCTAATATACAAAAATATATCGGTATAGTAGACTTATACATTATATATATACAAATCTCTGTCTGACTCTCTCTCTCTCTCCGTCTCTCTCTGCAACTGCAAACTACAAAATCTACAAGAATCAAAAGTTCAAAACCCATATATTTTAGATTTGTCTGCAAGAAGTTCAAAAAATCAAAACCCATATTTTTCAATTTCCATTGCCTGCTGTTCCAACAGCCGCCTTTTGCAAGCTTCAGCTGTTGTCTCTCAACTCTCGAGCTTGCCCCCCTCTCTCTCTGAGACTGCTAACTTGTATGTATGGGTTTTGTTTTATTTTATTTTTCTAAATCAACTAATCAAGGTCTGTAATTCTTGATTTTGTGTATTCTTGTTTTGTATATCAAGGTCTGTAATTATTATGGCCAGAGATTTGCGAAGTTGATACAGTCAACAGTTCCTTGGAATCGAACCGTGAATGCTGGTTCGGTCCGGTTCTAGATCTCAACGGTTCGGTTCCGGTTCCATTTTAAAAGAACCGTTAAGATCGGTTCCGGTTCCGTCAGGAACCGTACCGAACTGTGTGCACCCCTAGTACAGTTCAATATTCAAATATACGTATAATAATATATTATATACAAAAATATTTGGTATATATCAGTATCCAAATATAAAATTATTTGAGATTTAGCGTTTTGAAATAATTGCCTAATTATATAGATTTTAGGGTTGGGAATTGTGAAATTAAGTTGTGGAAGTTAATTTTTTTAACGTGTTAGGAAAATATATTGATGCTATATGCAATTCATACATGATACATGTTTTAAAAAGTTGTGATAATAATAATTTGATCTCTTCAATTTTTGTATTGTATGCTATTACAAAAAGTAGGTGATGGAATATACAAATCTTCCTACATATATGTTGAAAGTATTTGTGGTTTTTATTATTAATTACGGAATTGTGAAATTGAGTTGTGGAAATTAATTTTTTTTAACGTGCTAGGAAAATATATTAATGTTATATGCAATTCATACATGATACATGTTTAAAAAAGTTGTGATAATAATAATTTGATCTTTCCAACTTTTGTATTGTAAGCTGTTAAAAAAAGTAGGTGATGAAATATGCAAATCTTCCAACATATATGTTGAAAGTATTTGTAATTCTTATTATTAATTTAGGAATTGTGAAATTGAATTGTGGAAGTTAATTTTTTTAATGTGTTAGGAAAATATGTTGATACTATATGTAATTCATACATGGTACATGTTTAAAAAAATTGTGATCATAATAATTTGATCTCTCCAACTTTTGTATTGTATGCTGTTACAAAAAGTAGGTGATGGAATATGCAAATCTTCCTACATATATATTGAAAGTATTTGTGATTCTTATTGTTAATTTAGAAATTGTGAAATTGAGCAGTGGAAGTTAATTTTTTAAATATGTTGATGCAATATGCAATTCATACAAAATACATGTTTAAATAAGTCGTGAACATAATAAATTGATCTATCTAACTTTTGAAGTAGGTGATGAACCCAGCCTTCAAATTTTTTGATTACCAATAATCACCACCGGATTGCCGCCATATAAGATAAACTTTGATATATCATTATGAATAAAGTTACAAGAAATTCAAAATAACAACCTAATATTTATAATGATTAGAGCTTTAGCTTCTCGCCGGACAAATCTCTCCTTCTCAGAAATTTTATCTTCTCGTCGGAATGTATGGTAATTTTTCCAACTAGATCTTCTTTTGTATGTTTTAGAACGGACCTTCTTTGAACAGGGAGATCCTTTTGCTTATTTGTACGTCCTCAGTTCAGCTTCTTATCTTGGATGAGGTTGAGTTTGGATATTTCAAATTTCAGAGAAGGATTTCCTATTTGATATTTCAGTATATATGAGAGAGTTTTTTTGGGGAAAAATTGAAAATTGAAATTCAAATACAATTTTGAAAAGATATAATAATATGGTGTATAAAGAAGATGTATAAATTATATGTATTAAACACAATAGTAAATACTCCTTCAACCCATTTGCCAACTTAGCAATTTACCCCCTCACTAGACAGTTTCCTGGAAGAGGTGCAAAGAAGAGGATTTTTGTCCAGGTAATTCATTTGATGGTATTGAAAATCAATATGAAAGCTTAATGCAAATAACAAAATTAAATTAAACATTTCCCATCGAAACATGTCCAGTTACGCAATCATCATGGATCTACGTTGACACTCATCGACAAGTAAGATATCATTTTTGTATTATATACACACACACACACACACAGAGGAAGGCTCTCATGCGATCTAAAACAACTTTTTAGGGACTAAAACTCAATTAGTCAATTTCACTTTATTACCTTATCAAACTTAACCATAGTTAATAATGTTAATTTTAATAGTTAATTTACCATAATTAACCAATACCTTTATTCAATGTCTCTCCTCTTTAATCTCTTCCAACACAACAACCATATTCATTCTCCAACATATGAGAATTAAAAAACAAAAAATATATAAATTTGAAAATTAATATAAATTAAGAATATTATTTTTTGTACATATAAAATAAATACTTGATTTTAAGATGTCTAAAGGTCTTCTTGATGTTATATTGTAATTATAAAATTAATGGGAGGGTAAAGTAAAGCTTTTGATTGTTAAAAAAAAAAAAAAAAAAACAGCAAATTTGAACAGGTTCATACTATTTGAGTCTTGTGATTATGTTTTCCGTGTGCAGCCTTGCTGTTGGAAAAACAAAAGAAATGGGATGAAGAAGGGCTCTTATTAAATATATATTCAAATCCATAATACATTGTTGCCTCTACTCTATATATTTGTCTTTTATGGCAGATGCCGTAAAAATCAATGTTAAGTCTAATAAGGTAATAAAGTAAAATTGACTAATTGAGTTTTGTCCTGTTGAAAAGTCCGTTATTTTGAACCGCATGAGAGCCTTTCTGTATATATACATACATATATATATTTGCTGAGTGGTAGATTAGAAAAAGATTTGATTTTCACGGTATATAAGGACTCTATTACCTTTTATCACAGAAATGCTTATATGAATACTCCACATAATTTGATAAAGAACAATGCTATTCTATCTCATAATTTAAACATAAAACACTACTGGGAGGGTTTTTATCCCTTAGGCACTAGCATGGCTCCACATGACAAATATTCCTTTGGCGCTCAAGTATAATTTTTCTTTGATAAATGCACTTCATTTTAAATAAAAATGACAATATTGTCTAATTTGTCAACTTCACAATAAGAGAATAAACATCAGGGACAATTTTGTTTTTTGGTGTAAGAAAAATACAAAACATGACTTGCATTTATGAGCAAAGAGAGTGATCCTTTACCATTGTGTCAAGTAATTAATGAAAAATATACTCCAAGGCCAACAGATGAAATGCCCAAGGCATGGTAAGGGCAGAAGTAGGCCAAGGAATGTAAGTGGTTAGGTCCCCCAATCTTGTATGGGTAATATAGCATTGTATGGAGTTGCTTGTGACCATATGAGCTGTGATACTCTCATGCCGCATGGCATCTGCTTGGGAATGGATAAAGGATATATATATATATATATTCTAATTGGAGTACTGGATCCTACAACATAATGTTCATTGTCCAACTCTGCAAAATATCAGCCATCCAAACAAGACAAGACAGGAACTTGGTTCAACCCAGAGGCTTTCAGCTTTGCCCATTCCATTTGATAGAGACCTCAACATTACTTACCTTTGCCTTTCATTTGATAGAGACCTCAATATTACTTACCTTTGCCTTTCATTTGATAGAGACCTCCATTCATCAATATAGCTAATTTCTATCAACTTAATAGCAAATTTCATATTCAATGACAAAAGTTTCAAGCCGTGACAAACCACATTAGCACTGATTGTTAAGACAAAAGACAATGTTATTATAAACAGAAGCCATGCATACAAGAATAGCCCATGCTTTCCGTTGAATCTCCCACCACGGTCACCAGGTCTGCCAGCTGAAAGAGAAAACTGGCGACAGCTGAAGTTGAGGTGGACAGTTGCATTTGATACTTCCACATTGAAGATGCAAGATGGGGCAGACGAGGAGCATTAGGCAAGGGCTTTACCTCACCCACTGTCCCTTTGGAAGAGAACATTGACACTCATTTAATTTACAAAATTTGGAAAAGGGCAGCTTCCATCTTGAAGACGACTAAAAGAACTGCTGGAGCCAGTGGCAGTTCACAGCATCATCCTCCAAGCCATCCTTCAACTTTCGCACTTGTTGCAAAGCCTGCTTCAAGTCCATCTTCTCTAGTGGCAAATCAGAGAAATCTTTCAAGAACTGGTGAGCCCGGGCAGCACCTCTGGACATATCATCTGTGTCACATTCTCTCTTCCTTTTCAATCCCACCTGTAAATCATAGCTAATTAACAATAAACATCTGATAACACATACCAGCCAAATACATGAGAAGTAACAAATCTGGTTGCTAATTGAAATGCTAGAGGTCCAAAAGTTCTTATGACTGCCACGAACAATGGCATTCGAAGTAGCACAACAAAGAAAGAAATAAAAAGGAGACAACAAGTCTTCTACAGAAAAAACTAAATAATTAAAATGTCCTGCAGTATCCGTTCCAGCGAAATTAATTTATAAATAATTAAAATGTCCTGCAGGATCCACTCCAGTGAAATTAATCTACCACTTTCTCCTAAAACTGTACAAATACATATTTACTCTCTTAATACACTTGATCCTCTGTGTGTGTGTGTGTGTGTTTTCTTTTCCGGAAATTAATCCTGTGTTTGTAGTCTAAATGCGTCGCTCCAATAAATCCTAATTACTAATGCATGCATTTAGGACTCACCACCATCCACTTTTTTTTTATTTGTTGCGAGATTAAGAGGTAGATTATATGCAATACGGTTAACTAATGCCTTGTCAAGTGCGTTTTAAGATAACAAGAGACCAGACCTCTTCTTTAGCATCATTTGAAATGATAGCAATTGGTGAAAAGTCTTCCAATTCAGCAGCCTTTTCTCTAGCAAGGGCGACGACACTTTCAGGAAAGTTTGCAAATTCTGCAACATGAATGCCAAAACTTTGGTCACAAGCCCCTGGCTCTACCTGGAAAATAAAATTACACACAAGATTAAGTGAAAGCACGAGTTTCTCAATGAATTTGCATAATTCAACATGATGAGTGGCTAGGTGAAGACATAAGAAACATCTTATAGTATCTTGATTGTTGAAGCACCGATTATTTACTCCTAATTTTGCTAAATAGGCTTCACCATCAATAAACACAGATTTGCCATATCTCATCTGCTAAGCAATTGATTTCAAACAAAGACTTTGCCGCCATTATCTGGTCAGCTACAGAAATCCTGTTCTACTATTCTTCTACTAAATCCAGGGCCATAAATCTAACAACAAGCATGTTGACTGATTTGCAATCCTTAATATAAGGACCAGACTAGGACTTCATATATTTAAATAAGGGAATATCAATCTGGGTATGGTAAATCATTATATGCCCATTTCATCAAATTGAAAAACTAAGCAAGAGAGCAGTTCAAATCTATCTTCATTTGTGTGCCAAATTCTGCAAGATGCATTATTTGACTAATTCACTACAACTCAAATTTATTTTAGTTCGATATTCTGTCATGACAAATTCGTGATTTTGTGAGTAGGGTTTTAAAGGTTATGTGTGAAATCAAGATCTCTAGGCAAATCACCTAATATTGAAGAATTAAGCAACAAAAGTTAAGCTATGGATGGAACATAAGTAGGTACAACTTACTAAAAGTAAGTAAAGCAAACTTCTTATAAAGAAAGCCTAGCTATGCTTACTGGAAAAAAAAACAAAAAATACTATGGTTATTTTACGCTTTTGATGTTAGCCTCTTCATGTAAGCCAACACAAGGATGGTTATATAACCCATGCGTAGTGGGTACTTTGTTTCTTCCTCTTCTTTTTATTTTTTATTTTTTTATTTTATTTTTGTAAAAAATCCATATTCATTCTATAGTCGATTAAGTATTTTTTTGTCATAATTACTCAAAAATGAAGGAATCATGAAGTAATATAGTAATTTGCGTGCATAGCAAATCCTAGCAGCTCAGCCAATAGTTGCAAATGAATGAAGAGAAACAACTTGGACAATGTCACCCCCTTAGTTTAGTGATGAAATATGAGAGTTATTTATTATCAAAGCAAGTATTTTGATTGGGCAGCCAACTAAACATCTATAGTCTTGGTGCTTATGCCATACCCCAGAGCTTCAAATCTCCACAATTTCCTTATGGACTATAAACCCCGTCATTCTGAACATTAGACTACTCTACCACATCCCTTCATGTAGGGGTGGCAATTGGGTGGGTTTTGAATGGGTTGGGTATGAATGGGTCAGTAACCCATTCCCATAAATGGGTAAGGGCTCAAATGGGCGGGTCAACTGGTTCCAACACACCCCACCCCCCCCCCCCCCCCCCCCTCTTTTTTTTCCCACTTTTGCAAACCGGATCTTTTGTGACGGCAAACTTCTGATATTCACTTCAACTGTCAACAAATTTAAAATGAAAACAAAGTTTCATTTCATTTTATTTTATTTATCCTCAAACAAGGTTTCTTTGACTATCATATTAAATTGAAAAAGACAAAGATTAACTTTTATAAAAACTGAACTATATACACACACACATATAATTAATTCTTAGAAAAACCCCCGATAATAGATTATAACTGGTCACCATTAATTCTTCAAACTTAATTAACAGAAAAAATAAAGGCAGGTTCTCATGAACATAACCCAAAATGGGTTTTTATTTTTAGGTATATATATTATATGTATATATTAATGTATAAGTGATTTGCTGTATAGAGAAGAGATAGATGTGGTATGGTGGCGGCCATGAGTGGAGGGTGACAGTGGTGGTCCATTGATGACGCAGTTGGACTATATTGTTCCCTTCAAGTCCCTCACTAACATATATCTTTGGGATAGCATGCTAGATAAGTACCCCTTATTCATGCTTCAACATCTCCCTAATCTTGTCTACCTCTCACTGTGCAAGGACGGCTTATCAGGTGTGATCTAGAGGGGAGAGAGAATAATTAAATTTTTAAATTTTCAGATATAATATGTATAATAAAAATATATTACATATAAGGGTATAATGGATTTTTTTCTATTGGAAAATAACCTTCATTACAATATCAATAAAATAAAATAAAATAAAATAATAATAAAATCTTTGTCCAAGGTCCCACCAGCTTCAGCTTTTGTGAATCAACCAAAGTACTCATTACAAAATAGACAAACAGAAGTTGCAATTAAGTTCTTTTTTACCATATTCTTGCCGTGTCTGTGTCTTATTTTTTTTTTAATAAATTTATATATACAGGAAGCTGAAGAATGAGGCAGAGAGAGAGAGAGTTAACACTGAAAAAAAAAGGAGGGTTTTCTTTGAGTGGCTTAAGTTGGGTACCCACTCTTAACCCACCATTGACCATTGAATTGTAAGGGTACCCACTTTTTACCCATTACTGACCCACTTACTTAAACTTGGGTGCCCAAATGATTTAATTTTAGTGGGCGGGTTTGGCTGGTTTAATGGGTTTGATTCTTCCCTGCAGACCCTTGCCTTCCCTAGGTTGTGGCCCAAGCAGTAGCAAAAGTACAATCTTTTGAAATCCGTTTTGTAACTAATAATCCAAACAAGTCATGTTGATTTAGACTTCTGATCTCAAATCCACCTGGTCCAAATCCATAAATCCAAACGTAGAACTAATATTAATGTTTTATGTTCTGCTGAGTTGTTACCCAGATTAAAAAGAAAAAGAAAGAACAGCATGCCCCGGAAGTTCTGGACAAAGCTAGCTGATTGCCTCTCCACTAGGGCTGCAAATGAACTGAGCGTGAGTCTGTTCTGGCTCAGCTCTGGATCTTGATAAGCTTGAAAAGTTGAGCTTGGACTCGGCTCGTCATTATTTTGAAAAAACTTGAACTCAGCTCATTAGATAACAAAAGTCGTTTGTGCTCAATTTGAGCTCATGTTCAAGATTGCTTTGCCTCGTTCATGAACTTATATGAGCCTAGACAAGCCTATGTTCATGAACCTATTCAAGTTTGTTTATGAGCATCATGAGGCTATGTTCATGAACATGTGCGAGCTTATACTAGCTGAGCTTAACAATGTTTGGGGATTGGCTTGTTTACTAAACGAGCTCGAGCTTGGCTCATTTTCTTAATGAAAGAGCCAATCCTGCCGTACTCTCCACCATGCAGGTACTATAGAGCCAACTATGCAAAGGTCAGTTAGGTTAAATTTAGACACACTGGAAGATCTAAAACTACTTAACTTCATCACCACTAACTCCGCATAAGGTAAGTGGAATTTCATTGCCTTGTATGTATACATAATAATCACAAATACATACAACAAGAAATATAAAAAATTTCAGGAGAATGTACCTACCTTGTAAAGCATCGTCAGCTTGCGGTTTGAAGAATCGATGTGTGCACTGACATGATAATTTGCCACGCCAATGATTTTCTCTGCAGAAGCTTCATGATTGGCATTTTCATGAGCTAATGCAGTTAATTCATGAAAGTGGGTTGCAAACAAAGTAGGCGCTTTAATCACTTCAACAAGGTGCTCACAAATGGCCCAAGCTAAACCTGAAAATCAGAGTAAAACTAAATAATAAGAAGGTCATGCATGAGTTAAAAGAAAACCTGTAGTTTAACAGACATTCAAAAATAGATATTGAGTAATTCAGATAGATGCAACCTAAGGATGGTCTATAGTAAATTTGCAATATCGGAGTAAAATAGTAAACCGGGCAATCCATGCATCAAAAAACAAACCCAATGGCATTGGAATCACTAGTTCAAAATAATGAGTTTATCCTGCAAAGAATTCCAATGAACTTATGGCATTTACGATGACCATACAATACTAAGTTAGTCCCTTTTCCTTCTATATCACAGAGCACCATGAATTTCATTCTTAACTTGTGTATCCATTTTAAAGTAGATACTTTAAGAATTTCCAAAGGACAAAAATATTCCTAGGCTACTATGGAATATAAAATTTTAGTTTTATGCAATTTAAAATTTCTAAAAAAGAAAAAAACTCGCTATTACAAGGTATCTCCTCTTTTTCCCGTCTTTTTTATTTTTATTTTTATTTTATTTGACTGAACCTCATAAGATGGGGTGGATAATGGACAATGCTATCAAATTTGAACCATATCATAGAAACTTTATGATATCTATAACCCCAAAATATACGAGCATAATGAGATTGGCAATGATTACCACATTGATAGTTGTAATATACGATTCATCACTACATCAATGTTATCGTTTTATGGATTATATCAGATTTAAATTATAATATAAGCAATGTAATTGTTTCATAAGTAAAATGATAAAACTACTACATTCTAGACTGGGCTGCTGTAACAACCTTCACCCTACCCAGACACAATATTGTCCGTTTAACTTCCGGATGGGCTCCGCCTCTGATACCATCTTTGTTGTTACCCTCACCCTACCCAGACACAATATTGTCTGCTTTTGGCTCTCCCGGACCAGAGACTTCCCATGAGGTCACTCATCCGGTACTACTCCAGAGTAAGCACACTTAATTGCAGAGTTTCGATGGGTTCACGACCATCACAGCTTTAAAACGTGTTGCATCATAGAAGGGTGTTGAACCTTACATATAGCACTTCACCTCGTCCAGTGTCCCGCACACATCACACCCTCCCACAGAGGTCGTCACAATCCACCCCTTGTGGGGGCCCAATGTCCTCGTTGGCCACACTTCCGGCTAGGCTCCGGCTCTGATACCATTTGTATAGCAAGATATCATAAAACCTGGCAGCAAACATGCCATACAAGACATCCACAACCCATAGCATACATTTATACATGAATTAGCCAAAAAGACCATAAATGGACCCAAGGGATGACCAAGCATTCGATGCTGTACCAGGACCTGGAATGATATCCCAAAGACAAATCGCATGACCTTGACCCATTGAAATGACCTTATTACCCCCCGGGTTGGTTTAAGGGTTTGGGTAAGAGCCCGGTTTGAATTCGTACCCATTCATGACTCGGATCCTATGGATTTGGATCATGACAGCTGCCAACCAATATGGTAGATTCAGACTTTAAAAAGAAAAAAAATTGGCCATGAAAATTAAACACTGCAAATATTCAACAAGTTGTCCATGAGATTCAGGCCATGTTTAATAATACAAGATGGCACTTGACTGAAATGTAATTATGACGAAAATGATTTATATTTCATTTTATAGACAGATAAACACACACATACAGAGTTCTCTTATGGTTTCGGGTAAAGCAATATTGCATCGAGGGGTATTGCAAATTCTAATTTAAGAAAAAAGTTAAATTCAGCAAGATTGTAAGAACAACACATTAGTATGCCTGAGAATGTAATAAGGATACACATGCTAGAGAACCTAGTCTTCTTCCCGAGCCATAAAGAAGTTAGCCTTTGATAAGTGTACCACATTTCAGTAGACATGCTGTATCATGGACTGCAGAGGCACTAGGGAATTGCAAAAACATTGATTCAAACCCATGTCTCTTGTAACTCGATGAGGTGATATTCTTATCAAGAACCTCATGTTTCGATTCTTATTGTCAAGTGTTTGCACGTGGAAAACAGGTATAGAATGATGAACTCAAGCCAGGGTCCAATCCCCAACCAGTATCAGGTTAATTTGGATTTTCCATGAGCTCAGGACTGGCTTCCTAGGTTTATCCTATAGGCGTGTACCCCACTTACTGCTTCTTGCACTCTACAGTATACAATTGTAAACATCCACATCACTGACAAAGTGAAGTGCAACAAAGCAAAAGTTTGGGCAGAAATAGGACTGGACAATCTTCTTATTCTCAAAACAATAATTCAGATGCGCGTGCAAGAGATAGAGAGAGAGAGAGAGAGAGAGAGAGAATAAGATATTCAATATGAAACTAACCAAATCCATCATACGTTGATGTTCCACGGCCCAACTCGTCAATGATTATCAGTGATTTATCAGTAGCTCCTTTCAAGATTGATGCGGTCTCCAGCATTTCTTGCATAAATGTAGAAACTCCACGCAGCTATTCAAAGAAGAAGACAGATAGCCAAGACATATTAGAAGGAAATACCACATTAGTTATTTCCATCCTACCCACGAAACATCTGTACCGTATGAAGGAAACCATAAGTTGATCTCTAGACTAATAAATAAATAAATAAATTTTAAAAAGAGCACCCTCTGAAATCCATAGGGATGAATCTAAATGGTTGATTTTATAAGTTAAAATGAACAACTTCAATGACCAAAAAGATAGCTGAGACTAACATTCAAAAAAATCTGATAAACTATCATTTTGCATCCATAATTTCATAGAATGTCATGCTGGAATGATTTGTTAATGAAAAAAAAGAGACTTAAATTACCCTCATCTTCCCTGAGGTATCGAATTACAAGGGGCTTCTGCTGATTAAAAAACTATGCTAAACTCCCTTGTTGGACTTTTCTTATGGACGTCATTTTACCCTTTTGCCCTCAATAGTTGTTATCTTACTTTAGTTGCATATGGAGTTATTTAAAAAGACGAGCGCAAATTCCTGATTTACTTTTGCTGACGTAAGTAAATTTAGTCTTTTGACTTGTGTTGACTGTATATGTAGAGAGAGTCTATTGCAAAGTACTAACCTAAAGGGAAGTTGGTGTAATTTTTTAATAAAAAAATGGCCATGTAATTACTTATAAAAATAAAAAATAAAAAAAAACACCCATGTAATTAAGACATACATCAAGGGAGATGAGTAAAACTTTAAAAGTTACCCCCTTTTTTTTTGTATATTTTGTTTTGCTCTTGTTTCTATAGCGACCTCCTTTAATTTGACGTTTTTTTTTTTTTTTTTTTTTTTCTTAAGATATATTTTAATGGTCTCTCTTTCTCCTGCAGTTAATATACGACATCAAGCTGCTCTTAAAGTACCTATTGATCCCTTTGCTACAAAATCAATAAGATGATTGTGGCAGGTTGCTATTAGTGACAGGTTGAAGTCTAAGTGATAGAAACAAAATAACAAATGATCTCCATTGAATCAACTATTGTACCAAGTTAATTTGCATAGTTCAATGTTCCAAATTCCAACAAGAACATGCAATGGAACTTACCTGACAGTCACCAGCACCCACTCGAGCAAAAATACAATCACGAACCGAAATGCTAGCTTTGTCACAAGGAACAAAAGAACCAACTTGTCCCATCAGGATGTTAACTCCGACCTACATTTGCAGAGAAATATTAGATATCAAACAGGTAAAAAGAACATAAAAGTTAGATGACACAAAGTTGGTTAAAAAAAATAAAATAAAAATCTTAACTTCGTAACTTTATTGAAAGAGTCCTAGTTTTCTATTTAACAAGAACCAGATAATTGCTTGTTTGCCATGGGATGAGCTCTCCAATATGGTGAGCTCAAACAAAAGAAATAGCAACACAGGTGTCAGTGCCTGAATGGTACTCGACTTGACTATTGCTGAAGTCCAACACACAAACACACAAAAAAAAAAAAAAAAAAACAAACAAGCAAACAAAAATAGGAACATTCCAGTTACCAAATACATTCACCTTGAAAGAGAAAAAGAGTTGCTGCAAAAACTCAGCATACCTGTCGTATAAATGTGGATTTCCCACCCATGTTAGGGCCTGTGATGATTTGAAACCAACTCTTCTCTCTGACCTGGGTTGTGAGAAAGACCAAAAAATCAAGCAATGAGCAACTTCAATAAAAACAGGCCAGAGGAAGCATCATGCCCAACATTGCACAGAAACTCACTAGTTTACAATCATTTGGTATAAAATTCACCCAGTCTTGAGCTTCCACGCAAGGATGCCTACTGGCTTCTAATATAATATCTCCCACATCCTGCCATATCCAACACATTTAAATAAGCATATCTATAGCAAGTTTGAAGAAAGAGAATAATTATTGTTCCCAGAAACCAAAAAGGATCAAATAACAGGTAAATCACTACCGACGGAGTGATTTCTGGTCTTGTGTAAGGAGTGGGACAACTAGCAGCCAGATCAGCAAAACTAAGTAAGACATCCAACTCCGAGAGCAACACAGCTAAACCCTCGAAGACCTGCACAACTAAAACGTCAATTAATTCAGAACAATAGCAAGATAAAAAACAAGATAAAATAAATTATAAATACCTCAGAGAAAGTTGAGGCAGTTTGAACAACTCGAACAACCAGCTCTTTCTGACACTTCTTATACTCCTCAAGTATCTTTTGGTACTGGTCCCCTAATTTCTTGAGCTTTGTGCTTGTAAATTTCACTCCATCCTTGCGGGTTTCAAGAACAACAAAATGGCTATTAAGCTTCTTCCTTACTTTTGGCTCTTCTTTTTTTGTGATTCGAAATACGTGTCCAAATTGTGTACCCTTATCTAGCTTTAAAGCCTTGTCGAGAGCCAGATCAAGATCATTAGCAGTTTGTTTATGCAAATTGTGTATCTGTCTTTCCAGTGACTCTTGCTCATTTTTCAGTTCAGATAATTTAGGGTCATAATCAGATGAAATCATGTATTCCCCATTCTCAAGTTGATCAAGGTCAACAGAAGCTTCCACAAGGCCAATGAACTTATTCAAGTGATTATCATCAGTCCAGAGCTCTAGGGGATCCAAATACCTCTCTGTGATCAGTGGTGAAAATTGCCCATCATATCGTCCCAAGGCACTTTTAATGTATGGAAGTCTAATACTTGACTGCATTCAATATATATATATATATATTAAATATATACATTGTCAATTTTCACAAAACATTGAAAAAATGGAGGAACCTTAAGGTGTACGACAGTTGTATGATGCATAAACATCTAGCAGGTATGCAGTTTCAATGGTACTGCAAGCATTTCATTCCTAATCACATTGTAACTAAGTGACAAAAATATCACATAGGTATTGTGACTAAGTGACAAAAAAATCAGATAGGTACTGTGAAGAGTACAGCCATACCATATAAGAATGAAGATAGAGAAAAAGTAGAAACTACCTGATAAAGCTTTACAATATGCTGCAAACTAGCTCTCCTCTTCAAAAGATTGTGCATCAATCGCTCAATATCTGGAATTCTCTTCAAATGTTGCCTCAGTTCTTGGCAAAGTGCAGTGTCCTCCACAAATGCTTGTACCAAATCTAGCCTGGAGTTGATTTCATCCACATCTAATAAAGGCTGTTTTAGCCACATGTGCAGTAATCTTTTTCCCATCCCAGCAGTACATGTTCTATTCATGAGACCAAACAAACTAAAATTTTTGTTAGCATCAGTTTTGCTCTCCATGACATTCAGCGCCCTCATAGCAGCAGAATCTAGCCTCATATAGCTGTCAAGATTGTACTGTCGGATATTATAATTTCCATAATTGCTCTCATCAGCAAGTAATTCTGCATAAGACAGTAATGACCCCAAAGCTGCAGGCGCAAATTCAAACCCAGATACCAAATCTCGAACTGGCTCTATAGAACCTTTGACAAGCCTTCCGAGATCTTGTACCAAATCCCTTCCTTTGAACTCAGTTTTTTTCCTCTCAGTTACCATCACAGCACACCTTGATAATGCATCATGCAAAGGTCTATATTCACTGGATTTTGCAGTGTCCACAGGCAAAAGGCATTCTTTGCAACCAAGAGCAACCAAAGCTGACTCCACATTTGTAAAGTGGCTATCATCAAGAAATTCAGCCAAACCAAGAACTCTCTTAGTAAGATCAACATAGCCCATGCCAACAGTGCACCTGTTTTCACGAAAGTTTGGCACTAGGGCAACAACCACTGGAGAATCCTGCATCTCATTGTTGGCAAACAAAATATCTTCAAAACTGCCTAGGTTTCCAGGGCTTCCACTTTTCACTAGTCTCCAGTTTGAGCCACTACCCTCATACAGATCAAGGGTATGGTCTGTTCTCTCCAAGAGAAGATCACGGGCAATTGTCTCAAACATGTTTCTACTTACACTAACAGAAGAGATGGCATCTGACCCACCACCCAATTGTCGTAAAGCAGTAGTAGTATGGTAATATGTCTTTGCAATGAAACTTGCATTCTCACCATGAGCAGTATAATAGTCCTGATTATAAGGCAATTCTTTTAGCAATATAAAAGGAACCAAGTAATGTATATTAATAAAAGCAAGCAAATGAGTCTTGAATTCATTATCAGGAGGAGCCAGTTACCAAGAAAGAGACCTTGCAATCACAATTTAAAAGTACAAAATACTGGCCAATGGATGAATTTCATATTTACCGAAGTTTTAAAATAATTTTTTTTTTTTTTTTTTTTATAAAAAGAAGAAGAAAAAAGCATATAGAGATATAGAGAGCAGAAATGTTTGTGGTACAAGACATCAAGAAAAAGCAAACGTGGTGCACTCGCACTGTAAATATTGCATAACAATTCCGAGTTTATTAAATAAAAAAGATTAAAAAAAACTGCCAGTGTTGACTCCCATGATATACAGGCCTAACTTTTGATAGTCAGTATAAAATAACAATTTAAATCATATCATGTTTGTCAAAGGGACGTATAGACCCCAGAAAGGCCCCAGACTCGTCAAGGCTCATCTAGAATGCATCAACCTACAACGGGTTATGCCCCTTCTATAAAGCTCTTAGACTCGCACTTTTAAGTAGGCTCCAAGCCCAAGAAAAGCAAGTCTTTTATTATTTAATAATTCATTCATATCAAAAAAAATTTTTTTTTCCTTTTAGAGATCATTAATTAACATGTTCTGTATCATTATCACAATCATATTCCATAGATCATATTGTTCAAAATTATCAAATATTTCATGGAATTCATAAGATTATGCTTGACTACTTATATTAATTTCATCTAGTGCTCAAACATTTATGATTGAACAATATATTTTTGAAATCTACGTGATTATAGTTTTTATTGTTTCACATTTGCAACGGCATTTGAATGAGTTAATACATATGCATATTGAAAGGAACTGTGCACATCAATTCAGTTGATCCTCTTAGTTGATATGCCGAAAATCCAATTTCCTTGCAAAAATATATCAATTGCTTTGCATATCTTGAATCATTATGGTTTTATATTGATTTAATTGAGTATATGTTCGAATTAAAAAGATAATCCTTTTTGTTATCTCTTCAATTTCCCTAGCCTCTTGAGGTGGGAAAGTGCCCCTTCTGTTGCTAGGCTTTTCTCTTTTCGGCTTTGGAGATCCTATAACCGTTAGTTTATTTTGAACCTTAGTGTACATCCCCCCCTTTTTTTTTTTGGAAATAAAAATTTACTTATCCAAAAAATTGAAAAGATATTTATATATTGATATAACTAATTTATTGAATCAATAAGCTAAAAAATCCGTTTATTTTGATCTTGAATACTTTGTTTTCCATACTTTTTTTTATACTAAGATATATTATGCATTTCAATCACGCACATGCCTTAGTTCGGTTAGGCACATGCCTTAGGGTCTTGCATTTAGGCTCTAGGAAACCTTTACTGCCTTAGTGCACCTTGAGCCTCTAACAACTATGAATTATAACGTAACTTGAAATTCAAAAAATAACATGAGAGAGATGATAAATGAATGCAAGGGAAGTGATAATCTCCTTTCCAAAAAAAATCTGCAAAGTACATAACAACCACCTACACAGACAACTTTAACATAATAACAACTAGCATTCGACACCACAATTCTTCTATTTGAGATAAGAATAAAGCATTTATAATCTCTTATAGAGTAAGTTGAATGTAGGAGTTGGAATATGCCTAATAGATCGAATTGACAGTATGGAGCACCCATACCAATCTTCTTCTTCTTTTTCTTTTTCTTTTTACACAACTTTAGCTTCTGACCAATAAAAACCCAAAAGCATAAAAAAATCGATAAAAAGTAAAATCCACAAAAAAAAACCATATCTCAGAATAGATACACTAATACAAAATTTTGAAATAAGATATCAGCTATGTTTGGAGAAAAATGCAAACTAACCTTAACATATTTATTACTTTCAGATGCATATGAGTTTATATTCAATCAAAACAAAAGGCTAAACAATAAACACATACACAAGGTGGAATGTAAACTAACCCGGCGATCGAAGAACCGAACAGCCCTGTAGTCCTGAAACAGAAAAATTTAAAAACTTTAAAAAATTAGGGTTTTGAACAGATTTTTCTTCTACATTTCCAATCAAATCAGAGGGCGACTCAACCTATTGAGATAAAAGGGTATGCTTACATGCGGTAGAGTTTTGAAGAATGAGAGAAACCCTTGAGCTTGCTTAGCATCTAACAACCAATAAAAATAAAAGAAGAAACGAAATGGTCAAATAATCAACATTCGAAATACATAAAACCACATCAAATCAGAAATTGAATTTGAGGAAATTTAAGTAAATGCGAAGAAACTAGGGTTTTCGTTTATACCGAGTTTGAGCTCCGGGAGCTTGTTCTGTTCCTGCAAATTGTTATCCATTTTATGGCGATTCTTTGCGAGACAGATAGAGGGTTTCTGGGAGGGAGTACCGTCTGCCTTAGCCCTTTATGTGTATAATAGTGTGTATATATATTATTCTGTATATGTAATTGTGTAGTGGCGATTGGCGGGAAAAGAGTGGCGGGTTTTCTGGAAGGAAGAGTCGCGTGTACACGCTCAGAAAGATTTCTGACACCCCACAATTGCAAATGTAGAAGGGTAAAAATAATACACTGTGCCAAAGTTTTTGGACGGTCAAATTTTTGGACGTTTGTAATGTGATAAATAAGGGTTGAATTAAAATAGATTGGGTTAATCCGTCACTCACCAATCTATTTTAAGAAAAAAATATTATTATTTTAGATAATTTCATTATTATAGTTTTTTTGTTTTTAAATGGATAAAAGTCTGTAAAAATATATATCCATAATTGTAAATCCTCTAATTTATTTTAAAAATTCTTTAAATTTATATTATATTATTTTATGACTAGACATGCATGAAGGTAATATATATATATATATATATATGAAATCATCTATTGAGCTTTTTTATAGAATAAATAATTAAATGAATAAATCGGGTATTCCTATATATATATATATATAACACAAATACATTGTATGTGTGTCATGGATATAACAGAGTAATATTATAGTACTACAAAAATTTTAGAGAGAGAGAGAGAGGATGATGAGAGATAATCTTAAAGAAATAATCTTAGAGAGAGAGAATTTGGGATCGTGTGAGATAATTTTAGAAAGGAAGAAGGGGTGAATTTGAGTCAAATAGATGATGCAAAACTGTATTTGGGTGAAATATGGATCAAAATGTGTGACCCATATTCAACCCATTTAACCCTCTATAAAAATGGATTGAATATGGGTCACCTATTTTGACCCATATTTTTAAATAGTTTACCTATTTTCATTTTTAAACAGGAGTACGTGGATTAGTTGGTGGGTCATGACCCATTTTGCCACTCCTAAGTGCATTACAAATTTTTCATGTTTAAAGTCACTTCTCAATATCGAAAAACATATTTAGGAAGGGCAAATATTATGAGTAAGGCTTTTTCAAAAGAGACATTTATTTTGGGAAATAGCGAATAAACATTGAACTCTACCCATATGTATTTTACACTCCATCTTTAGGAATGGCAATTTCTAATGCCTCATCGGATAATGTAACATGGGGAACTTGTCCCATATTGAATTCGAATGGGAGAGTGATTTGAGTATATATAGGTTAGATGTTAGCCCCACCTTATAACTTAGGCTTTTGGGTCGGATCATGAATTATCCACTCGTTACAAACCGTTTATGTACCTTAGGGGGGATAAAAAGGCTAACTTGGCAATTAATCATATATATCAAACTTCCAATTTATAAATACAAGCATTATTTAATGAATTTAACTTTTACCTTATGAGTCCTAAAAAGAAATAACAAAACCCTTCCCCAAAAAGTTAGAGTTTTCCATCAAAATGAAATGAAAATTCTCTCATCAAAATTAAGTACGAAAGAAGCAATACCAGACAAAACGTAAAGTAAATCCAAAACACATTGCATAAGTAATGTTTTGTGATTAACGGGCTCTCTTTTCAAATAAACAAAATCAGATCTATTTCGGAAGAAGAACAAACGATTTACCAAACAGAGGGAAGAACAGAACAACAAAAACGATTTTTTTTTATGAACTAGAGGCGAACGATTTTTTCCCCCAATATAGAAGAGAATAAGTAAAAAATATATTTTAATTTAAATAAAAAAGTAAAGTTAAATTGTATAATAATGTACTATTATAAGTATAAAGTATAAAGTATAATGTATAGAGTGTTATTTGTTTAATAATATACTTTGTATAATATATTGTATAAATTATAATGTATAAAGTGGCATTCGTGTATATATGGTAAAACAAAAGTAAATTTATTTCTTAACTTGCTGACTTAATGATGACAAGACTGTGTTGGAGAGGTGGTGTTAATCACCATCAGATGCTTGCTGGATGTCGTCCAGTGAGAAAATAACTGAAGAGAATTTTTTTTTATCCCAGGTTATGGGACGGGAATAGGGTGGTTTCGATAATAACTCACTTGGCCTCATTATATATATAAATGTTAACTTTTTACTAAAGTAACCCAACTAATTAATCACCAATGGACTTTTACTATTTTTTGGTTGCTTTTCAGGATTCCAATTTTTTTTTGTTCATATTTATTTGTTATCCAAATAGTTATTATTTTTAGGTCCACAATAATAATATTAAAAAAAAAAATGCATAAACAGAGCAAGCGGGGTAGACATAAGTTCACTTATCCTCCAATGAGGCGTTGGACTTTGAGAAATCAACTCGTCCCAAATATGGGGCGGATATGAGATTCTCATTAATTAAATAGGCGGTATGAGTTTAGGTAAACCTGTGCTATACCCATCCCGTTGCCATCTCTATTCATCGTGAAAAGATAATTGAGTTATTTAATTTATTAAAATAGTGAAAAATGTGCAAGAGTACAAAACGGGTATGTGAAAATGCATTTCTACAATATAATTTTGGGCAAAGTACAATATATCCCCCCCTTGACTATGGGCCTTTTCTAGTGAACCCCCATTGTCTAATTTTTTTACCAAAGAACCATCTCCAACCATTTGAGGGGGGTAAAAGAGTGAATGTTTGGACCAAAAAGTCTTTATTGCTATTTTATTTTAATCATAATTTATCCGAACTTCAAAAATTCATTTATCACAATCCGTACATAAAAAAATTGCAAATAATATATGCACGGAAAACTTATGAAACAAGAATTAAAAAAATATAAAACTTGTGCAATATGCCACAATAACCAGAGAGAAATAGACAATCTATGAATCTACTTCAGCAATCTTATTTTATTTTTAGAAAATGAAATACTCAGGATATTTGCAAAAAAAATTCCAAAATCATTCATTTACATATGGATCATAACATATAAAATATTTAGCCATAACAGAGACTGATTATTCATTTTGATTTTTTTTTTAAATGGCGAGTCTATTGGAAAATAAAAATACCTTGACGCACAATATGATATCATATGAAATCAGTCTCTATTGGGGCTAAATTTTTTATATGTTACGCTCCATGTGCAAATGAATAATTCTAAAAATTTTCTCACAAATATTATAAGTTTTTTTTATTTTTTATTTTTTATTTTTATTTTTTTTAAATAAAATAAAATAAGATTGCTGGAGTAGATTTTTAGATTGCCTCTTTTTTTATTTTTATTTATTTTTTATCACGATTTGTTGCACAAATCTTATATTTCTAGAATCCTTATTTTATAAAATTTCTGTGCATATATTATTTGTAATTTTTTTATGTACGGTTTGTGAGATACGAATTTTTGAAGTTCGGATGAATTATGATTTAAATAAAACAGCAATAAGAGTATTTTAGTCCAAACATTACTCTTTTACTCCTTTCGGATAGTTGAAGAGGGTTCTTTGGTAATAAATTAGATAGGGGATTTACTCGAAAAGGCCCACGGGGTTTATTGTATTTTGCCTTGTAAGTTTTGGCATTTAAAACAACTACAAGTCATACGGTTCTATATTTCAGGAAATAATGTTTTCTAAATGGGAAAGTTTTTGTAATTGAGTTTTTATTTTTAGACAAAAGTGTAAAAAAACCCCTGAAGTTTCACTAAGTGAGCACAATACTCCTGCGGTATAAAAGTGAGCAAGTCCGTCCCTGTAATTTTAAAAATGAACAATTTGCCCCCTTACATTTTACATCCAGCCATTTTCTTTTCATATTAAGATGCACATGATTGATGTTTTTTTATTAATCCCAAAAGTAACCTCCAATATGACCGTTATACCCCATCTTCCTAAAAAAAGGCTTTTATATTCATTTGTTCTAATCAAACATATTTTTGCTCGATCTCATTTGCATTTGCATCTGCTTTCTATGCTCTTCGTCCAAGGTATGTTCATTTAAACATATATATATATATGTGTGTGTGTGTGTGTGTGTGTGTACTTTATTATAGTAAGTTGTAATAGGTAAAAATTATTGTAGTAAGTTGTAATAGATAAAAATTATTGTTGGACCCCCTCCCCACATGTATGTTCACGTGTATTTTTTTCACTTATGTCTTTTCTAGCTAGCTACTAGATGAGTTTTGGGAAATAGATTATATCAAATGGTCTGTACTACAATACAATATAGCTGAGGATATAATACAATCATGAAAAGTACGTAGTCAAAATCCCTCTTGTATATGATTTGAAATGTGGGATTGTAAATTCTTTTTGGCCTCAAAGTCTTTCTCATTCCTCATCTTAAAATAGCTTTCAAGGATTTTATTTGCTTGAAACGTACTTTAATAAGTTGCTAGTTAGTTTTGTACTCTGAATGATTTTTCATCTTTTCGCTCTTTACTGTATCAGGCCATGGATACAAACGAAGAAGCATTACAAAAATATAAAAATACAGATGAGAAAAAGTTAATGGACACGTATTCTCCAATTATTCGTGTAAAAAAACAAAGAGTAAGAAACCCATTCAGCCCGAATTCACATAAATTAGACAAAAGCTCACACGAGGAGTTACAACACTTAAGTCAATTTAGGGCATGCAATACCTCATTATATTGTAGAGGGGATTTAAGATATCCTACCTTTAATTTTTTTATTAAAAAAAGTTAGTTATAGGTAGTAGTATGGTAAATACACAATGACATCAAGTGAAAAATGATCAGAGTTGGGTGAAATGCAAGGGGACAAATTTTTTACTTTTGAAACTACATGGATTAACTTGTTTTCAGGAAATTTTTTACAATTCTACCTTATTTTTATATATATATTTTATTATTATCCTAGTAAGGATCTCATCCACGAAGAGTGAACCTTCAACCTTGTTATATTATATCAAACATATAACAATGTAATTTATTTATTAAGAAAGAGAAGAAGGAAAAAAAGGAAGGGGAGGGATCAAATGAATGAATATTTAAAACAAATTTTAATTGTAAAATACCCTATTTTGCCCACTTTTTTTTCAATCAAATTCTATATTATAGCAACAATCTCTTTCCAGAATTAACGTTTATCTTCCTAGATTGCATAAAATTTGATAGTCAATACAATCAAGAAGGCTCAAACACTTCCACATGGGTTTAGTAGAGTTGATAAGGTAATGACCTGCGAATCACGACATTCCAAAGTTCAAA